TTTTTCCGTTGTTCGAGAATCGACGATGACTTCCACAGGATACGGCATTTTCGCAAATGAACTGATGAACGTCCGTGCCGATTCTTTCATTGAAAATGTCGTCCTTTGCCACGGGCCCCTTATTTTCCACGTTGACAAAAGAGAAACCCGGTAGCAATCGACTTAGTTCATGCCTGCAAGTAATGTCCAACTTGACGAAGACCCATGAAAAGTTGTGGCCTGTCGGAGGACCACAATCCTGGGACTGCCGCCCACTTTAGAGACAAAATCATCTATAAAACCGCCGCTGCCCCTCTGAATTTCCCGTGTGACTCTCCACAAATTCAAGGTTTTGTAGTCTTATTCCATTGCTCAGAGAATCTACGAGAACTGGTCCATCTCCTTGGAGTGGACGGCAGTCCAGGGATTGTGGTTCTTCGACTAGTCGACTCCGACTTATCATGGGTCATCTTCAAGTTGGACATAACTTTAGTCCTTTTCTCTCAGGTCTCACCTTTGTTGGCGTAGAAAATAGGGAAAAGAAATGAGATTTTTCATGTAAAAATGGGCGCGAACGATCCTCAGTTTATTTACGAAAGGGCCGTATCTGGCGGAAGCCCTCGTTGATTTTCAGAGCAACGGAATAAGACTACCAAACATTGAATTTGTTGAGAATCAAGAGTGAAATTTATGGGGGCAGCATGGGTTTTATGGATGATTTCGTCCCTTAGAGGGCGGCAGTCCAGGGATTGCAGTCCTCCGACTAGTCACAACTTTTCAAGGGTCTTCTTCAAGTTTGACATTACTTTCGGGCATCATTTCAGTCTTTTTCTCCCGGGTCTCTCTTTTGTCGACGTAGAAGGGAGATAGGTAGGGTGTCACTTATTTTTGAAATTTGAGGGAAGTTAATAACATAAGGAACGTTTTTTTTAAAAAAAAAAAAATTTAGGTACCGACCTCTCAAGCGCCCTAAAGGACACACATGTCAAAATTGGTATCTTGACAAAATCAGTGTCGTTTTACTACAGACATCATCCAAATTGCGGTGCTTTAGAAAAATAATTTCCGTTTGGTCGCATCCGTAGCCGGAAAGTCGGCCAGTTGAGTCTGGCCGAAAGAACGGCCAGTTGAGGCGCGGTAACCACCCTCCGACGCGCCTCTTAGACCTTGCAGTGAACTCGAGCCTCTTGCTGCCGACACAGGGTTGCGAATAATTCATCCCAGCTGGAAATTAACCTAACCTAACTCTTCGGACCAAAATTTTGGTCATTTCACGGGATCTCTGAGGCTATGGCCGTAAACTACCATTTTCAGGGGAAAGGTAAATCTGCTTACCGGGCGCGTCTGTGGGTTCGGCTCACTTTAGCATTGTCGACCCAATTTCGCCGGCTATTCCTGAAGCTTACATCTTTCTTTCTCATACAGACAGCTTGACACATGCGTCTAAACCTCTTGTTTTCGTTTTTTTAACGAAAGGATTAGTCTTCTTGAGGGAAAATATCCAAAACCATCGTTGAAGAGTTGCTTAAAACCGTTCAGGACACTGTGTAGCCGGAGCTTTCATGTTTCAATCTCATTCTTGTCTTCAGTCCTCTTTTTAGACTAGAGAGTTGAGATCATGGTTTTTTTTTTTTTTTAATTTTACGATTACGAACCAAAGGCGCCCTTTAGGGCGCTTGAGAGATCGATAAAAAAAAAAATTTAATTTTTTGGAGAAGATTTTCCTTATTTTTTACATCTCATAGCACGTTTTGAGATCTGGGGAGCTGAAATTTTCTGAAATTTCAAAGATAAGGGACAATGAGGCTGAAATGGGTGTAAATAGGGGGGCGGCGGCCCTCCACACAATTCTGCTCGGCCCCTTCCAAAAAAAAATCAAGAGCCTTGAGGTAAAAGGCATAGGGAATGTAATAAAACCTAACAGTGTTACGTTTTGAATGAACTAAAACCCACAGTAAGATATGATATGTTTAAAACAAGTCAGCAAAATTTCTGTCATCTGTAATATTTAATTCCATTCAATTTGCCATTGATAATGGCTCAAAAATTTTCTCAAGACGTTCCAATTTTCAAAAATTTGCCGGGGAGGCCTCCCAGTTCCCCCTTACCCCAAATTCTATATCCCCCTGTGTCCCCTCCCACAGAAAATTCCTCGTTCCGCCCATGTAAGGGACACCCTAGGGAGGGGGAGAGATTTGACAAAGTCACTAATATTTTTCTTTCAGATTTTCAGACACTTTTAATCTAATTACAAAGAAAATCCTCTAATAAATTAGAAGAGCAATATTGACAAAATTTCCCAGAAATTTGTGATATTCTAAAGGAAATTTGGCATCGTCTGAAGGCTCATACGGCGGTTTTCCTTGGCAGTATTATATATTTTCAGGTTTCAGGGGCGGTCTTTTTAACGGCAATTTGACACCAGTGGCTTTGATTTCGTTAAGTTATTATTTGGCCCACTACACTCATCTGTCTGACCGATTCAGTGCAGTGCAGTGGCTGGACGTCCGCGTCGATATCGCATCGCGCCGATAGCGAAAGACGCGATCAATGCATGGGATTCCTGATTCCCCTGATCGCCGCGCGCCGCGACGACACCTATTTCTGTCCCCCACTAGAAACTCTGTTCATTCAAGAGCTGGTGCGCAACCCATTCCGCGGGCCGCCGTAGCTGTGTATGCCGGGTTGCGGGAAACCACTCGACGCAGGAACTTCGATCCCGCTTGTTCAAAGAAAACAGAATCTTTCTGCACAAACATTTTCTTAGCAGCAAGGTACTGCTTTCCAATTTTGGCGATGATCGAGTTTCTCACTTGTTAGTTCCTGATGCCTTTTGTTGCAGTAACTGCAGCTGCCATAGCAACAGAGCACTGAGAGTTAGGTAAATACTAATCACCTGATTGGCAACTAGAATTGAGAAGCTTAATCATCTCTGAGACAGTAGTATTTGCCTTGCCCCCTTTGCCATATCTGTTAAGTCATTCTTTGAAAATATTGCTCCAGTCAATGGAGTCAAGATATACACATGGGAGTTCAAAGCAGTTAAAACTGGGGATATCTTATCAAGTATGTGTATGGCAATCAAACTCGCTTGTTTAATTGACAATACTACCAGATCATTGGTAGCTTGCCTTAAGAACGTGGAATTAGGATTCTTAAATGTTCCTACTAAACACCTTTTAACTGCTACTTGTATGGGGGCATTAGCAGGTTGATCATCACCTCTTGGGGCCTCGACAACAAAATTCATTTGCCAAACCTTATCAGCTTGGCTTGATTTCACTTTCCTACTATTAGGCCCAATGTCAAACAGGATTTTGCCACAGAAATAAATACACTTGTATTTAGCATCCATGTCAAACATTTCTGTATTGACATCCTGGCAAACAGTGGCAAATGACTCAAGCAATGCTTCCATATCCACAGCTTGTCCAGCATGAGCATCTTTGAACTAAGTAAATAAGAATAGTAGTAAATAAGTAATATTAAAAAGAATATGTGTATATAAATTCAAATGAAATATTGACTTACCAAAAAATCAGCATTGGAATACGATTTATTTAATCTTTTTGTTTTTTTATATGGTCGAGGCACATAAACCATTGAAACCATTGAAAAATCGATCTCAGCCTCCTCTCCAGAAGTGATAGCCGTATCATTCAACTGGTAATCGTCGAAAATCGGGGGTCCTCGGATCGCCGGATTGAAGAGTCTGGACTCATGTTTCAAGCGGATTTTGAATTGAATCAATGCAAAATCCGCTTGAAACAAGAGTTCAAAACTCTTTATATCCGGCGACAAGAAACTGCACTCTTAAGTCAATGCACCGCGGCATTGGTCCAAGAGGTTTTTTTTACCAATGCGGTCTCATTGTGATTTTCAGACGGGTCCAAGACGACAAGCTGTCGTTCGACGTCGTCATCGTGGAGTCCTTCCTCATCCCGTACGGCGTCGCCCTCGCCCGCCTCGTCGCCGTCAACAAACCCGTCATCTCGCTGGCCTCGATGACGGGCGGCGATTTCTACGACGAGGACGCCATCGGGAACATCAAGCACCTCTCCTTCTCCCCGTCGATGCTCAGCCCCTACACCGACCGGATGAGCTTGTGGCAGCGCTTGGAGAACTGGGTCGTGCACCACTACATCTCGCGGAGGCTCCGGGACATCGTCGAAAACTCGGCCAGGGATTATTTCCGGGAGACGCGCGGGCCTGACGGGGAGGCCCTCGTGGAGGGTTGCTGGAGGAACATCAGTCTCGCCCTCATCTCGTCCAACGCCCTCTATTACTATCCGAGGCCCGTTTCGCCCAACGTTGTGGAAGTCGGACCCCTCCACATCAAGGCGCCCTCCAAATTACCCAAGGTATGCGTAAACGCTAGGCATTGTCTCCACGGGCTTTTTCACGAGATTTGTCCTAGGGAAAAGTCCCACGTAGGCCCTGTCCACACGAGCCTGGTTCGAGGAACACTGGTAAGAAAAACCTTTTGGACCAATGCTGCATTGCATTGACGTAAGAGTGCTGTTTCTTGTCGCCGGATTTAAGAGAATTGAACTCTTCTTTCAAGCGGATTCTTCATTGATTCAAGGGGATTCTGCATTGATTCAAGCGGATTTTGCACGGAGTCCAGACTCTTACATCCGGCGACAAGAAACTGCACTCTTGAACCAAGAGGTTTTTTATACCAGTGAAGTTACTCGACGAACTGTTCAGTTCCCGGAACTTGTTCCTTGAAAGGAGGGATGCTGTACACAGTGTGGTGGCGGGTCAATTCACCTACGACGTCTAACGACAATCGTGGATGAATTGATCCGTCAAACTCTCGCTCAAAAACCGAGAACTCCGCACCGGCACTTTTCAGCGCCGTTCGTACCTTCGTGGATTTGAGCGAGGGCTGCCTAAAATGATTGATGGGGACGATGAAGGATGAAAGAAGAACGTGAAATTTAGCTTCACTAGAAACAAACGAGCATCAAATAAACTCTCTCAAATAAGCTCTCGTCCAAATCGTCGGGAGGTCGGTACCACAGTCCGGTCGCGCGCTGGTTGCCCGAGAGCGCAACCAGCGGCCCCCTCCCGATCGCCGCTTGGCACCGCGCATGTGCGCCGTTCGGTGCTTCTCCTCTCTAGCGGCAGCGGGGAGTATCACAACAGCTATCAGTTCGCCCAAACTGGAACTGGAACTTCAACAAAACTATAGGCACAATTATTGCAAGCCAATAGATTATTACGGCCGCCAAAGTAACAAAAATAAATGTCAGGACTTGTAAAGGACGTAAAAAACAAAAACAAACAAATTCACACCGAATGTAAAGGACGTAAAAAACAAAAACAAACAAATTCACACCGAATGAAACATATGTAGTAGCTCGGAGTACGGGGGAAGTTCCGGGTTTAGGAGGAATAAGTTTTCAGCCCAGCTAAAACTTGTTCCGGGAACAGGTTCCTCGAAATAAGTTCCGCGAACCAAGTTCGTGTGGACAAGGCCTTACGAAGTTGGGAAAAATATTGATTATATTTTTCCCAGTACCAAGTATGGTCCTTTTACTCCTAGGACCCACTGAGAGGGGAAGAAGAAGTGTAAACGAATTGCGCGACATTTTGTTGAATACTCCATTGTTCAGGTTTGTTTTGTTGAAATAATGTGTCCAATTGTCAATTGAGTGCAATTATTATTTTTATCCCGGTTAAATACTCGACTTAATCTAATTTATCTTCCCGCGCAAACTAGTCGCAGGACCGTATGAGCCTGGTCCCGTGGAGACGGTAACGGGGAGAAATCCCAGAAGTTTAACTCCTGCGATTCGAACTTGGGACAAATCCCATGAAAATGTCCCGTGGAGACAAGGCCCATCACGGAAAAAGGAGTGTCAGGAGTGATGCCCAAATTAGTTGGATGATCTGGACCTTTCCAATTGATTTTGGTAGCTCCGCAACTCAAAGTGGAGTAGTACCGCAACATGGGTTAGTACACTGGAAAAAAAAAATATTTCGGATCTTGAGTCCAGACTCTTAAAAACATTGACAAGGAAAAATACTCTTGATTTAATCAGATTTAAGCCAAATCAAAAGGAAATGCGCTCCAATTGAGTGGCTTTGTTCCTGATTTAAGCAAAATTCCGATTGAATCAAGAGTATTTTTTCTTATCGATGTTTTTAAGAGTCTGGACTCCAGATCCAATGTGTTTTCTCTCCCAGTGTAACCTAATTTATCGGGATACTATACCACAATTAATGGAGGTGTTGCATGTGTGAGGGATTTGCGATTTGACCATTGACTCTTACGTAAAAGTTCGTGAGAGAAAAGATGATGCCACTGGTTTTCTCTAAAATCAACTCCCAAGCTCAAAAAAGCTCTCAAGTTGACGCCCAAATGGAGGGGATATCCCTCGCTATCCTCAGAGTCCACCTCTACATCAAGACAAACTCTCCATGCAAAGATAAAGAGCAAATACATTAACAGGGCTGCCACTTTATTTGGGGACTCTAAAACTGAAAACACAGCTACCCTGCTAATGTATTTGATCCCTATCTTCCCATGGAGAGTTTGTCTTGTCTTCATGTAGAGGTGGACTCTCAGGACATAGCCGACCAATCACGCTTCGCCTTTTAGCCTATGTCATCTACGATCGCCTGACAAACACTAAATTTCAATAATGGGCCCGCTGACAAAAACAAAATACTCTGCCAGATACATCTTTGATGTAATATCTATATTATGTGGTTGTTATGGTTAACGCCACTTGTAATCATAATCTTCAGAAAAAAACTTGCATAAGTGCGAAACTTCCCCATTCTGTGCCGATTGAGTAGTATCTCTGACTGAGAGGAAGACTTTGGGCACTCCATGCCCAAAGTCTTCCTTACCACTTCACGACTACAACCCTGTGGCTACATGTAATAACTCTATGATCGAAAGTACTTACTTCATTCAGCAGGACATGCTTGTAACGTCTCATCTTCCGTCTTCACTTCAATAACTTAACCCTTTGTTGCATGAGCTACTCGTTGATTTTGGAGGGCAAATCCACATTGTACAGTATGTTTTCGACACTAGAGTCGGTTAGAATCGATTTTTATGGGTTTTTTTAAAGTAAAGAGATCAGACTTAAAATGTTCCTCAAAACTCATTTCTTGCTTCGATTCAATTTATTACTTCAGCACAGAAATAAAGCTGAAAACCATTTCCCAAGTAGCATGGATTGCAATTTCATTGCAATGGATTGTGAGTTGATTGCAATTTTTGCTTGTTGCCTATACGTTCATTTGAAGGCGCTTAAAAAGTTGCAATTTTATTGCAATAAGTTTGCAAGAAATGTAGATTATGCTTGTTGCCTAACCTTCTTTTTCAAGGCACTATAAAGACTGCAATTTCGGTGCAATCATGTTGTAACAAATTCACGCCATGTGCCTGGCATCCAATTCTCTAGTTGTTTTAAAGTTTTTTGACTTGAATGTCTCACCTAACCCATATAGCCCAACATATTTTGAAAATATTGTCACCTTCATCAAAATATTTTCATGGCAATATTGTAATTAAGATATTTTCAAAATATTTTTAAAACATTTTAAAGGAATATTTTGAAAATGTTTACAAAAAATATTTTTAAAATAATTCAAAAATATTGCCTGTAAACATGCATGTTAAAAATATTCCTTAAGAAAGTTTTGAAAATATTTTAAAAATATTTTTTTTGAAAATATTTTTAAGTTCTCAAGTTAGTATGTGGTGTAATTTACACCGGTGTAAATTTAGTGTGAGTACCTATTACGTGATATCGAAAAAAAAAATCAGACCAAAAAAATATGAAAAAAATAAATAACACGAAAAAAAATAAATAATAGGCAAAAGAAAGAAGCCTGAGAAAAACGGCGTTAATCAAATCTATGATGAATGTTGAGCCACGCACTGACGCAATGCATGCGATAACAGCCTTAACAGGCGTGATTTCAACCCAGCTCATCAACAGCTCCCTGTAGCTCAGTGGAAGAGTGCTCCGCTCTGACATTCGCGGGTCGGGTTCAAGCCCACTCAAGGGCGTCCGGTATTTTATGCTGCTAAACGTCGTAGGACATTAGGTAAGCATGGGTTCGAATTATTATAATTTCCCCGGAAAATTTAGGGGTTGAAATTTAAAGGTCGTCAATATTGAATTTTCTTTGCAAAAAAAAAATTGCAACTTTTTTACAATGAGGGGGTCAGATGTTGTAAAATAATTGCAATTTTCTTGCAAGAAAGTTGAAATCATCTGGAAATTATATTTAATTTAAATTGCAATTTTTTCGTTGCAAAATGCTACTTGGGTTGTTGCTTTCATGCAACGCTATACAATTAAGGGTTAAAGCACCTGAAGTACTTGAATCACTTGAATCACTCAATCACAGTTCACAATAGGTATCACAATCGTCAAACTTTAACCTGTTAACCTGTTCACCCTCGATTTCGTCGTTGATTTCCCCCTAAATTTTCCTCGAACAGTTTCGCCCACCTGATCATAATTATTCAAGTTACGGCAACGTTCTACACAGGAAGAAAAATCAAGAATGTTAGCATTTTTTTATCCCTGAAATTAAATTTTAAACCCACATTATAATGAGCCCAGGGAAAAGAGTCAAGAAATTTGCCATTCTTGAAGTTCAAAAATTCTGAATTTTACATTTCTCGTATTTTCAATCGTGCGAAAAGAGCAGAACTGGCGCCGTTCAAAACAAAATTGCACAAGCCTGTCCTCACTATCAAAATACCGCATCAAAATATATCGAACTAAAGTGTTGTGATTGGCTTATTCGATGCCTTGGACCAATCACTTAACCGTGACATTTTGATAGAGTATTTTGATTTATAGTGTGCCGCAGGCTACATACATAACCTGCTACCCATATACCTGGTACCATTCTATTCTCAACTTCCAAACTTCGCCGACAATTCCGTTGGCCGACTGAAATTGAAAGAAAGTTCCCCATTATTTGCTTATTCCTTTTTTTTTTTTTTTTTTTTTTTTTTTTTTTATTAGTGTTAAGCGAACTTTCACAATGAAATTATACACTTTGTTTCTAAATTCAAAATAAATGTGTGAGTACAAACGACCGGGTAGTCTGTAACTTATCTAAATGGTTAGAAATAATTGGTTACTAAAATTAATGGTTCAAACCAAGGGGCTGGCCAGTTCCCACGGTTTCACCCGTTTGAGGCGTCTAAACTCATTTGAGTTGTCAAGTAATAGTAAAGCCTCGGTGTTAGGATGGTGATGGAGCCGTCTCTCATAGTTGGTTGCAACTTTAGTTATAAATTGCGAGACGGTCTCCATCCCCAGGTCTCTATGGATATCAGAGTTACGTTCATACCATCGTGCTCCGACTATCTGTCTCAGAGCACGATTTTGGACTCTTTGTAAAATTTCTATATTGGACCGTGCTGCACACCCCCAGATTTGAGCTCCATATGCCCATGTGGGTCGTACAATTTGTTTATATAATAGAAGCTTATTACTAATACTTAACTTAGATTTTTTACCTATTAACCAATTTGCTTATTTCTGAATAAAATTGTATTCTTGTTTGTTTTCTCAGTTTTAAAACTTACTCGCGTTTATTTCTCCGTTGATATTCGATACTTGCAGGATACTTCTTAGAACTTTAGCCTTCCGTTTCATAAGTCGGATGTGTTCTCTTTGTGCCAACACGAAGACCATTTAATGAGTTCCAAGAGCCAAAGGCTTTTTCGATAAATCGAGCCATCACCTCTTTATGGTCAGCCTCTGTTGGCCAAGTAAGTAGCATTTATTTCTAAGGAATCTCATAACTTGTCAAATTTCTTGCGCAGGAACAGGTCTACCAGTCGAGTGTTGAACTCCTAAGAAGTACCATGTTTGCGTAAAGAAAGTGTAAACGCATGAGATAGCATCCGTCCAACAGTCACTTCCTGGCTGATTCACAAATCAAGAAATCTTGTTGTGCAGATCCAGGAGTTTTGAATAAATTTCATATCCTGTTATCTTCATACACCAAACCATTTTCTTAGTTGTATTATTGCTTGAAGAAACCATGTTGTACTCATAAATGTAGGATACGTCTCACAACTTTTGCCGCTGCTAATTTCTCTCGAATTTCTTGCGCTACACAGTTTCATCATCAGTTGAGTTCTGAACTCCTTGTAATTACCTAGTTTGCGTAAGGGAAGTTACCTAACATCTGTGAAATATCCACTTTTTGGCCAAATCACAAATTGAGAAATCTTCTCTTTGTGTACATCCAGGAGTTTTGAATAAATTTCATAATCTGAAACTTCCGTGCACCAAGCCTTTTGCTTAGTTGACTTCTTGATTTCAAGAAGCACTATGTACTAATAAATGTAGAATATGTCTTACCACTTTTGCCTCCATTTCACAAATCGAGACCTGTTCTCTTTGTGATACTACGGAAGCTATTTTATTCTTTCCGAGACCTCCAGGCCTTGTCAATAAATCGAGCTACCATCTCTTTATTGTCAGGCTAGTGGCCTAATAAGTACATTTTATCTCTTAGGAAACTCGCATCACATCCAATTCCTTACGTTACCCAGTTGTACCAGCCGAGTTTTGAATTCCTGGTAATTATCATGTTTGCGTAAGCAAAGTGGACGAGTAAACATCTGACAAACATCCACTTCCTGGCTAGGATGCAAATGGAGAAATCTTCTCTTTGACCCCTGAAAGGTGTTCTGAAGAAATTTGATACTCTGTTATAAATTTGCCTATAGGAATTTGATACAGGGATTTGGATTTTCTCAGGATTGTGTGGGATATCCTCTCCATTTTGGTTTCACTTAGAGAGCTTTTTTGAGCTTGGGAGATGATTTCAGAGAAAACTAGTGGCACCATCGTGTTTCTCGCGAACTTTCACGTTAGAATCAGTAGTCAAATCTCAAATTCCTCATACATGCAACATCTCCATTGGGAATGTCCATAACATTCAACTGTTCGGACTTGACTCCTACCTCCTCTCTTCCGTGTAACAATAAACATAGTCTATAAAATGGTTAATTCGGGCTTAAATAACAGCAATGCATCAGTTGCGCTGGTCACAGAATCGTGTTTTGACGCATGATCGTTGCAGATTCGCTTAATATAATAATATCGGTCCTAACAGCGACTTTCTACGTTCAATTATTAACCGAGATATTGATCGCCCCTTGAAAAATTCTGTTCATGACGTCATTCACCGTGGTAGTAATTATTAACCGAGATATTGATAGCCCTTTGAAAAATTCTGTTCATGACGTCATTCACCGTGGCAGTAACACCCTCGGTTTCCTACTCCTTGCTTACATCCAAGTTTCACGTTGAGTAACCGGTGCAAATGTGCGTCACACTGACGGATGAAATCAAGGTGGAAGAAACCAAGGGTATCTCTACCGCGGTGGATGACGTCAGAAACTCGACTTTTCATAGGGCGGTATCTCGGTTAATATTGAACGTAGAAAGTTGCTGTTTGGACGGATCTTTTTATATAAATTTAGCTGACCTACAAAATCCAAGCATCAAAACACGATTCTGTGACCAGCGCAACTGGCCAATTGTATTTACTAACGACGTGACATAGAAACTGTAGATCGGTGGTAGCCTACGGAAAAACGTGCCACGCATGGAGCGGTCATTCGATAGACGGGCGGGGAGTGGAAATGGCCAATTTCTATCTTCGTCACAACCTCAAATGGAATCTTACGGGAGTTTTTACATCAAAGCCGACTACACACACAGCAAATGGGGACCTGCAAGTGGCACATCGGTGCTTTTTTAGAGGCCCACTGAGCGCCGACCGGCCGCTCAGTGGTCCTGTACGGAGCTGTAATTTTAAAAACGTGAATTTTTTGGAAGTATCTGTAATTTCTGAACTCAGCGACCCTCAAGAGTCCCTAATAATGCATTTTGCTCAGTTCGAACATTTAATCTGATTTAATAACAGTCAAATCCGACTTTTTTGCGCGCGAAAATCGGTCGGCGCGCGTTGAGCGGAAACTTCAATCGATCATAACTCCGAAACCGTTCGGTTCCCCAGCTTATACGACCACTCGTTGGATGCGGAAAAAGACGAGCAATTTGAAAAACTGGTTTTGGTTAAAATCAAAAAATGTGAAATTTCAGTTTAATCTGTTTAAAAGAAATTGTTTTTCCTCAAAAACTGAAAAAAAGCACATAAGTTAATTTAAAAATTTAATTTTGGGATTTTGACCTTTAGAATCTTAAAGTATGCAATTTTAGACGATTTTTCGTCCAAACCGGGCCTCAATATCTTGTTTCGTTCGAAAGATATCGAGGTTCACAGGTTTTGACTTCCACCCCCCCTAGCGCCCCCCCCAAAATTTTTTGGGGGTCTGAAAATTTGGGGAAAGAAGCGCTCCAGTATTAGTAACTGATAGACGAAGTTTGAATAAGTTTTAGTGGGGGGCGAAAAATGTCGTTTTTGCATACGGCTCTTTTCAGAGAAAATCAATTGACCCTAAAACTTTGCGTTATCGTGTGATTTCAATGCTGATATCATTACCGTGGTATTTCCAACACTGTTATTGAAATGGATCTTGTTTCCAACTGTTGTAAAGTAAAAATGTGACGAATCATCCAGAACTCTAAATATGGAAATTGTTTGCTATGTTATGTTGATCTAAAATCATCACACGTTGATAAGAAATCCATGGGTTTTTCATGCAATCATTTTCCTCTGCGAAACTCACAAGTAGATCTTCGAAATTTTTTTGGGTGAAAAAGTCAGAATTTTAGAATGATTTCCAATTTTTGATTCTTTCCTCCGAAAAAAAAATTCCAAGATATGAGACTGTTTCGTTGATCATACTCTAAATATTGCTCTAAATCACTTACGGAGGCGGAGATGAATTGGCGGAGGCGGTATCTTCTTCAATCTTCGGAGCTTGGTCCAAGATTCCATTGCTTCCATTGTTGTGGTCCATTTTTGGTAACTAACTACTAGCACAGCACTAATAAGGCGAATGAGCACAGCGGTAATGAGTCTGAATAAAGTCTGTGCGGGGGTGCTTTCCCACGATCAGCAAGCTGGACACGGCCACCTTATCAACGGATGGTTTCGGGTCGCGAGCTCAACCAGCCAGGCTAGGAATGTCGCGTAGCAAAAACCAATCGGCCAGATGTACGCTAAATTTATGAACATTTTCCCCATGATAATATTCTCAACAATAATTTAGTTCATTCAACCAATACCCTGTATGATTTTTTACAACAGTTGAAAATTTGGAAACTTAAATTGCCATAATTTGGAAACCTGTATTGAATTCGACAAAAAATATCGACCAGGTCATTCAACCAATACCCTGTATGATTTTTGACAACAATTGAAAAAAATTGGAAACTTAAATTGCTAAAATTTTGGAAACCTGTTCTAAATTCGACAAAAAAAATATCAACCTGCATTGTTGTCACATCTAAAATAAATTCACAAAATATTCATCTTTTTCAACAGTCAAACCGACAACAATGCAGTGTCCTCAAATCCCCATTTTTCCTCTACTATGCACATAGATTCTGCAGGATTGGCTAGACGGAGCGAGTCGAGGCGTCATCTACTTCAACCTGGGCAGCAACATGAAAAGTGCCCATTTACCTCGTGATGCCGTCTCCAATTTCCTGAGGATCTTCAACGACCTGCCAGAGGGTTATCGAGTTCTCTGGAAGTGGGAAGCCGATGGTGAATTATTACACGATAACAGCATGAATGGACAGCCGAAAAATAACATCCTCACTCAGAAATGGATACCCCAGCAGGGCGTCTTGGGTACGTAGTCAGAGGGATTTTGTAAACAACACAATTTTTCTCTTTCAGTTTTTACTCGTACTTGTGCTGTAAGGCGCATGACACTGTACACTAATGAATCTCAGTCTAAAGTAATTGCAATATTCAGGAAATGTCCGTCTCCTTTTTGCTTTTCTTTACAAGATTATTGTAAATTTGTGAATTATTACATGATAACAGCATGACGAATGGACAGCCGAAAAATAACATCCTCACTCAGAAATGGATACCCCAGCAGGGCGTCTTGGGTACGTAGTCAGAGGGATTTTGTGAAGAACACAAATTTTCTCTTACAGGTTTTACTCACACTTGTGCTGCTGCAAGGCGCATGGCACTGTACAGTTTACACTAATGGATCTCAGTCCAAAGGAATTGCAATATTCAGAAAATGTCTGTTCTCCTCTTTGCTTTTCTTTTCAAGATTATTGTAAATTTGGGCGAATATTCATACGAAATTCTAAGGGAATGTCCTAATTTCGGATGAGGGACGCTTCTTCAACTAAAAAATTTATGTTTGTAGAATTGAATCCGCATGGTTTAACTCATTGAAAGCAAATTTTGCCGACAAGAAACGACGCTATAAATTTCTTCCAAATTTTTCTTGTGTATTTGTTTTGTTAGGCAAAGTGTTTCTACGGATCTAGGTGTTATCTTGGAAATTTTAAAACCGCCTCTCATGTCTTAGTGTATATAGTTCCGTTTGACACAAATACGTCCAATTAAAAATCACTTTTCAATGATTTCTTCGTCCAGTACCCTTTATATTCAGTTGCAGTCGAAGCAATTAACCAGTATGCACTAAATCAGAGCCTATCTTGGTGGAATTATTGTTTGCAGCTCACCCGAAGGTCAAATTGTTCATCACGCAGGGAGGATGTCAAAGTTTTCAAGAAACTGTTCATTACGGAGTGCCAACGGTAGGCGTGCCCTGGTTCGGGGACCAAGAAGTTAATGTAGCCAAGATGGTAGATGCAGGGATCGGAGCTCGCCTCCGACCCTCTGAACTGTCCTCTATCGATAAAATCAAGAAAGCTATCGATACAGTGCTGTTCGATCAAAGGTTAGTGCATATCCAGATATCGCTACACTGGAAAAAAAAAAGAATCTTACATGATCTCTTTTGGTCATTGGTCTGATGTTTAGACAGTGGAAAGCGTGAAAACGCTTCGAGTATATGTTGTTGCGTATCCCTGATACCGTCGCAACCGTTTACAGACATCATCTTTTCAGACATGATGAGCTGTTGGTACTCTTGTCTGGTTAATGAAGCTCCTGATGTTTTAGGAACAGTTGAAAGCTCAGACTTGAATACGTCTTTCGGCGCAGGCTTGTTGACTACCTCTGAAAGGGTGTGAGCCTCTCTGGAGTCAAGGGATTCGTTTTGTTTGCGGTCATCAACCTCTAGTATCTCCTTTGGTACGGAAAGTTTGCATACACAGGGTATGTCCGGGAGAAAGACTATGCCTCGTTTCACTAGAAAACAGAGAACGCAGATCTCACTCTCGTCGCACACGATGTTTCGGTGCATGTACCTTGGTGGTGATACGTTGGGCGAAGACGGCCCAGATAACACTGGAATGGCTGACGTTCCATTTGCGGGTTTCGTGGCTTGTTTGACTGCAGCGCGAGCTTTAGCCTTAGCCTTGACCCTGTATTTGGGATCGAAATTCTCAGGTTTCCCTAAGTAATTTGGACGGAGAGCGCGGATTCGCTCGGTTGAATATTCCATCTCTTTCTGATCCTCTCTTTGGCCCTTACCACCTGTTTCTGATGAATCAGACATAGTGTACGGTTTGGAAACGCCAAGAAAATTTTGTTTCACTTTCGAAGTCCGGTTAGTGACGTCCGACGCTTTACTTCTTAGCCGTGAACCAGGTAAGAAGCGCGTGATTTATTAGCCTCACAGGCACCAGCATGTACATTGAGCGAGGTTTTCTCCTTCTCAAAACCGGGGAAATTGCCTCTTAAATCAAGAATTTTGCTGGTTATTATAAGCTCCTTTTTTGCTTAACCCAAGCATTATTTTTCTTGAATCAAGAAAAAGTCAGCTTAAAGCAAGATAAAGAAAATTCTTGGCGGCAAATTCAAGAATTAACATGCTGGATCTAAGCTACTGTTTTTCAGTGTACTACAGTCGGTCCCGCTTAATTGGGACACAGCCGTCCCGGACGGTTTTGTCCCGATAAAACGAAGTTTTCACAGAACCATCGAAAATAGTGAGGAAATGGTCAATTTTTTTTAAAATAACGAAAAACAAAACCTACCTTTGACTGTAATTCAAAGGTAGGTTTTGTTTTTCGTTATTTTAAAAAAAACTCAGCTATTGGTAAGTTACCAATGATTCTTGCTACTTTGCTACTTGCTATTTTGCTGGTTAATATAAGCTACTTTTTTGCTTAACCCAAGCATTATTTTTCTTGAATCAAGAAAAAGTCAGCTTAAAGCAAGATAAAGAAAATTCTTGGCGGCAAATTCAAGAATTAACATGCTGGATCTAAGCTACTTTTTTTCAGTGTACTACAGTCGGTCCCGCTTAATTGGGACACAGCCGTCCCGGACGGTTTTGTCCCGATAAAACGAAGTTTTCACAGAAACATCGAAAATAGTGAGAAAATGGTCAATTTTTTTAAAATAACGAAAAACAAAACCTACCTTTGACTGTAAATTATAGCTGCCGAGTCAAAAAAGGAGTACATTACTGTCTGCTTTTGTTGTTGACGGATTTTTTGTTCACAAAGTCGGAACATGCAGCCAGTTCTTGAACCACACGGGAACAAAAATTGCTGATTCAACAATTCAATTGCTAAAAACAGCGAGTGCAATGTTTCAACGCAGATTTTACAACAAAAAAATGCTACTTTAACCACATTGTAAACTAATTTAACCACAGATGAGGTTAAAGTAGCATTTTTTTGTTGTAAAATCTGCGTTGAAACATTGCACTCACTGTTTTTAGCAATTGAATTGTTGAATCAGCAATTTTTTTCCCCATGCATTGACCTAGGGGCGTCCTTATTTTCTTCCTGGATGAATTCAGGATGAAATTACGTTTCTCCAGGCGTGAATATATAATTCTGGCTGTCTACGGGTCGGGAAGTTCGGAAAAAGTAGTGATTTTTTAAGGGCGTTCCGGAAGTACCGAAAAAGTGCGGGAATACCGCATTAAGGTCCGGATTTTTTCTTCGTACGACGCGTTTTTGTTTTAATACAGCCTGGAAAGTATGCAATCCTCTGCGCGTTGAATCTTGGTGTAGTATTATTTGCCTGCCAGATCCCAATTATGCAGTCAGTTAATCTTCAGGCGACCGATGACATTTTGTGTCCGCGCAATTTTCGTTGCAATTGGAGCGAAAATTTTCAATGTTTGACGTCGTCGTTCGAATTTCTTCATATGAAGGTACTGGAACAGTACTGAACTTTTTTAATGAGGAGATAAAACCAGTGGGACCATCGTGTTTTTCGCGAACTGTTACATAAGAATCAATAGTGGAATCGCGAATTCCCCACACATGCAATATCTCCATTGCTAGACACCCTGTTCCGGTACTTCCCCTATCAAATCCGCCAATTGAGATTTTTTTTTCTCCTCAGGTATGCGGAGAATATGAAAAGACTTTCGCTGATCTCGCAAGATTTCACGAGTCGAGCGCCAGACGAAGCCGTTTTTTGGGTGGAGCACGTAGCGCAGCACGGAGGGGCCGCTCACCTGCGACCGCACACGGCCGATACCTCCTACTTCGAATACTTCTGTCTAGATATCATCTCGATTATCTTAGCCGCGAGTGCTGTGATTCTGTACTTCCTTTGGCGAGCACTTAAATTTACAATCTCTGCCGTGATGTCATCGCCTCACGACAAGCTGAAAAGCTCATAGTTTAATCTTTAAACCGCGGAATATATGTAAATTATTTATTTTTTGCTACAATTCATTGATTTACATTCTCTGCCGTGATCTCATCGCCTCACGACAAGCTGAAAAGGTCATAGTTTAATCTTTAAGCCGCGGAATATATGTAAATTATTTACTTTTTGCTACAATTCATTGATTTACAATCTCTGTCGTGATCTCATCGCCTCATGACAAGCTGATAAGTTCATAGTTCAATCTTGAAGCTGCGGAATATTTATATGTAAATTATTTATTTTGTGCTACAATTCATTGATTTACAATCTCTGTCGTGATCTCATCGCCTCATGACAAGCTGAAAAGTTCAGTTAAATCTTAAAGCTGCGGAATATACATATGTAAATTATTTATTTTGTGCTACAATTCATTGATTTACAATCCCTGCCGTGATCTTATCGCCTCATGACAAGCTGATAAGTTCATAGTTTAATCTTTAAGCCGCGGAATAGACGTATGTAAATTATTATTTTTTTTGCTACAATTCATTGATTTACAATCCCTGCCGTGATCTTATCGCCTCATGACAAGCTGAAAAGTTCAGTTAAATCTTAAAGCTGCGGAATATACATATGTAAATTATTTATTTTGTGCTACAATTCATTGATTTACAATCCCTGCCGTGATCTTATCGCCTCATGACAAGCTGAAAAGTTCATAGTTTAATCTTCAAGCCGCGGAATAGTATGTCAATGCTGAGCCATTTAATAAAATTGAACAAGAAACTAAACCGTCTGTAACCTCCAGGTACAATAAAAATAAGGAACAAATTAAAAAATCATTTAAAAACTCATCAATTCTGGCCAGACTGTCCCGATTCGTATCATTTCAGTGTCAGCTGCAGCCCATGGCCGTTGCGCGGGCTGTTATCGCGAGTGCGTTCGAATCTCCACGGTGTCCTGCCGCACCGGCCCACAGTGTGTCAAAACCCCAATCTAGCTGCTCAAAACCCCCCTTATATCAAGTCAACAAATGGTGTTATTTATGGTCAGAGTGGGTCCACAGGCATCCACTGGTTACGTATCTATCATGGTTATCACAAAAATAAATTTTTTGGTCACTAAAATGATAGGGATTGCAGCCGGTAAACCTCCAGCCTCAATCTCGCCATCAGGAGTGGTGCCACTGTATTGCTTTTTTTTAGAGTACTTCGTGGCGAAAAAGGGTCATTTCCGGATGAAACGAGATGCCAAAGGCCAGAGAAAGGAAATATGACCGTTGATTTCTCCCAAAAAATTATTTAAGTATTATAATTGCTCATTGAAAACAGTGCCCAAGACCGTTCACTTTTCCTGGCTTTAATAGAGCCGCAAAAGCGCGGAACTACGCGGAACACCATGAAACTTATATGAGAGTGTTCAGAAAACTATCTAGATTTGAAATGTCTTTAGTTTTACTGCTACCTTCCGCAACCTTGAGAATAAGAGCACATTTTGTTCGGCGATTCCAAGTGTAAAAGCGTGCGGGCGGCGTTTTGCGATCTCCCCCTACAGGCTGTCACAGGTGAAGTGAGACGGAGGCAGCATCTCACCACGCGCGCTCGGTCCCCTGATTTGAGTGAGCCTTGTCATGAGGCTTTTCACCGAGCCAGACAAGATAGTACGGTGGCTCAGTTGATTGCTTCTTTCATTATTATTTGCACGATCGAGGTTCAAATCCCGAGCTGGTCAATTTTTGGAATTTTATTTTCTATTTCATTACGATTTTCCCATTATCTATACTGTCATGGAAGGGGGAGGGGGGCCCTCATAAATACAAAGTTGCATCGTATTTTTAACAAGTTTTTTGTATGATTTGAAACAGACTTTCTTATTTATTTCTAATGAGGAATGGTTTCGGACATGGTTTATGAAACGTAGGAAAATGAAAAGGAGGGGGGGGGGGGCTCGCCGAAATTTTCCTTTACTGGCAAACATTTTGAAAATATTATCTTTGACTTATCACTTAGAGTTGCCGAAACGTATCATTTTAATAACATGGAATTCATACTTCTTTGGATGGCCAAATTAGAAATTCGCCATTTTGAAGTGGAATGCATAAGCCCAAGACATCCTCCAGGACTTATTTTGGATCGGAAAACACAATTTGACTAATTTTTGGGGTTCATCAGGTCACATAAGGCGCCTAAAACTTAGTTGGAATTTTACGATTGTTACATGAGTTGAACAGGATTTTTAGATGGCCGCCATTTTGAAAATTTTGATGACTAAGTTTTGAAATTTTAGGTGAACCTTCTTCAAGCTTACACTAATGCCTGTGCAAAATTTGGTGGCTATCCGACCAAATTTAGAGACGTGAAGAGGTTTTGAGCAGCTAGATTGGGGTTTTGACACACTGTGCGGCCGGGGAGAACAGTGATTCTCATATCCGCTGTTCTTACACATAACATGGTTTTTTATGTATCGCCGAAAAATTGTGCTGGAAGTCTGTGACTTTGCACAGGCATTCTTGAGGGCTCACTGGAAAAAGAAAACACACTGGATCCAGAGTCCAGACTCTCGAAAACATTGACAAGAAAAAATACTCTTGATTCAATTGGATTTTTGCTTGAATCAAAACGAAATCCGCTTAAATTAAGAGGCTTGATTCTTGATTTAAGCTAGATTCTGATTGAATCAAGAGTACTTTTTCTGGTCAATGTTTTTAAGAGTCTGGTTTCTGGATCCAATGTGTTTTTTTTCCAGTGCGCTCCAGAATTCGGACAATGCGTTTTACCTAAAAATGGCGGATGTCGACGACTGCTATTGTTACATACAAGTCCTCCTATGTAAATTATTCATTTTTTTCTATAATCCATTGAATTTTAATTCCCGCAGCTGAAAATCATCAAAGATTCCAAGGTTTGAAAATTGAGTGTCGCGTCTCCGCCGACGACACCACCTGCAACCATCGCATCAGACAGTAGACCAATATTGACGAGCGAAAGGTTTACGGACAATAGGTCTACAAGAAAAACGGCTACAAAAAAAAGGGCTACCTTTTTTGGTCTACAGTCAAAATGTCTACATCAAAATGCCTATTAAAATAATGTCTATAGTAAAATATGTCTGCGGTATTAAAATGTCTACGGTTTGACTGCCTACTCAAAAAATGTCAAAGTACGTATTTATGTCGTCTAATAAGACTTTCATTTAAACTTTTGAACTCATTTGAGGCTGCGGATAGCTGCAGGAGCTGATACGTAAAAATTGTGAGTCACATTTCGCGAATAATTGATCCTATAAATATAAACATGTATATTTTATATACATTTTATTTATTTTTGTATTTATTTTTTTATTTTATACATAAAATTTATAAATTTTTAGTAGCAAACATAAATATTTTGACATTTTCTAAGTGGGCAATCAAACCGTAGACACTTTAATAGCGTAGACATATTTGACTGTAGATATAATTTTAGTAGGAACTTTAATGTAGACGTTTTGACTATAGACTAAAAAAGATAGCCCTTTTTTTTGTAGCCCTTTTTTCTGTAGACACACTGTCTGCATACCGAGCGAAAATCCTTGTTCGGTGCCGTGCGTGGAAACGCGACACTCGTTTTTGAAACGCTCATAACTCCTTTTAGTTTTCACCAAATGAGTTGATCTTGATCTTGGAAGAAAACCATCAGCTCTGTCTTAGGCAGAAGACTTAGAAAAAATTCTACATAGCTTACTTTTAAGTTGTAGCATTTGTCTCACTACCTTTGAAGAGTTTACAATGTTATAAGTTTGATTTGGCTCAGTTTTTGCCATCTTTATCCGAAAAAGAAACAAAGCAGACGATCACTATGCTGTGCTGAGTAGTTCCTTTGGGTAAGGACTAAAATTTGCTTTCGGGGGAATGTATTTTTCGAGCAGAATCGGTTTTTCCGGAGAATTAGTAAATGGATTTGTACCAATTCCTGTCAGCCGAGAGAGGGCAGCCGAGGCAGATTGCCTGGATTCGTACTAAGGACCTGTCTTCAGCAAAAACAATGGTGTGTTTCCCGCGTCCATAGAAACCATTTAATATTTCCTCCACTAAGGCAGGCTTTTTCTTTATTTGGCGAAGGGATTTTGCCTCCAAAACGGTGTTCATCGGAACTACCTTGTATGCCATGTTATTACGCGGTGCTAAGAAACTGATTTTCTGCCTTCTTCCAAACTCTCCGATGACTGCACTACAAACGGAACATTTGATGGGAACATAACGGACAAAATTAATTTCATTCCTATGCTGCGTCGAATAGGTGCACAATCCGTGTACACGCGTGTATTTTTATTATGCCTTGATTCATTGTATGGATGAGTGATGTTCTTTTCGAAGGAAGAAATTCCAGTCATATGTTTCCATGACGTCGATTTTCGTCCCATTCGCATTTCCGCACTTGAGGATATCGCGAGTCAGCGAGTCAAGCTCTCGCAAATGACGAGACTATGCCGCATTAAGTCCTTCGCGGATAAGCGGATTCGCGATAGTCCGCGATACGCGAGGAATATCCACTCAGGATAATTGAAAAGCCCGCATCACACACTCTTCGCAGTGGATCTCATGTTCGCAGGGTGCAGACTCGCACAAGAATTGGTCACTTGTGCAACCATAGCAGTATTTGGCCTCCGTGAGGCACTCACCCCGCCTTGCATCATTCGCGAATAAGCGAATTCGCGATAGGCGAGTCCGCGGTACGCGAGGAGTATCCATACAGGATTAATTGAAAAGCCCGCATCACACACTCTTCGCAGTGGATCTCTTGTTCGCAGGGTGCAGACTCGCACAAGAATTGGTCACTTAATGTGCAACCATAGAAGTTGAAGCTATTTTCAATAGCTACACTAATTAATCAATAAATAAAACAATCGCAAACACATATCTCAAAAAAATATAAAGCAGAATGTCCCAAGGGTAAAGAATATGTATTAATAAAGTTAGATGAAATAAACCTAGTTCCCTGTTACATTGATACCGTATGGCACGGCAAACTCAGAAAAAAAAGGCAGCAGCAGAAGATAAAGGTTTTAACTCTCTTTACAAATATAAATTAAGAATAATGTAACATTTTTTTGTGTCTTACATAATAAAGTGTTATCAATAGGTATTGTTGCAGGAAGTTATACCTAATGTATAAATCCTATAGGATGATCAAAAAAAGGATTAATTGAAAAGAGCCCGCATCTTTACGCTGTGTTTCTGCCAGCTAATAGTCAGCCAAGCATTGATATTCCAATAAGTACCCATCCTTTCTTGAGCCAAGTTGTCTTTGGTTGGTTAAAGAACAGTGCAACTGGTCTGCATAAATTCTACCCGGTTGTGGGTTCCTTCTCTTATCGCCATCTGATGAGTGTCACGGAGTCGAATATTGATGAACTGGTCCAACTTGTTGGCAACCCGGAGCCAGAACTTTTATTTTTTCGTTTTTTTCACTGTTCCTTTATTAATTCAAGCGCTTATCAGCTATGTGACAACAATTTATTTTATTATGAAAATGCAGAGGTAAAAATATAA